ATATATCAATTGCAATAATGATTCAATCTTTGCATCGGTCATATCAATGTGCATTCATAGTGCGCAGTTAATATATCTATGTCATCCGTGCTATATGCAATTTAATTGTTACTTGTCTCTACGTTCGAAGTAAGTATATTGTGGAAAGAAACATAGGATATACTTTAATATTTAAAAGACAATATATCATAATTTTACTTTATCAATAGCCGATCTATAAGTGGCTTGTTACGTATAGCAAATGACAATCGATCGTAGATAGATGATTCCATTGAATATGACATCGTCTGCAAACAGTGTTGTTAAAGGTATGTAGATTTTTCAAAATAATCACAAACAATAATCAAACATCGCAAACAATATCCTGATATAGTGATTGTTATAAGAGACAGGCGTAAATAATCATTTTATTTATATCGTCCAAAAGATTGAAAAAGAAATAGTTCTAAAAAAATTTGGGCGAACGATTTAAAGAAAACTAAAAATGATCGTGGACGTCAAAATACATATCTAATCGGATTTTGTAATTACATTGCAGAAAGGTAAGAAATCAATAAAGATTCAACAATTTAGTTATTTCATATTTTTTACTATGTATGAAGTAAAGTAGAAGCTCTATTATATAATCGGAAAACAAGATGTTCGGATAATCGAACAATTTACTCAAATGTCTCAAAATATATAAAAAGAAAGTTTATTTATTATGTAATATATATTATATATAAAAAATAAAACAAAACAATAATTTAACAGTATTATTTATTATCTATTTTATTTTTGATATCCGATCTTTTTAAACTGCTAGTTCGCGTATTTTTCTTAACATAGTTATTTTAATGNTATATAATCTTTATATCAGAATACACATATATGTATAAATACAATTGTATTCTCGATTCTATCACAAATTTCTCAGATCATTTTAGATAGCTTAAAATCTTTAATAAATCGATAACGTACGGCTAGACGGATTTATTACTACCCAAATTGACCTACGGATAATCGAACGTTCAATTAAGCGCTGTTCGAGTAATGGAGAGATTATTTTGCGGAGAGAAAACACAAAAATAGAGCGGAGACAAGGGTGGATATGCGCGCGATAAGTTAAAGATATCAGTTTCGCTACGTGTGTGCACGGGCCAATGTCCCGGGGGCGTGGGAGCGCGTGTCGCTTAATTGCCACACTCTTTTCTTCTCGTCCCACTACTATATCTCTCGGCGAGGTGTTGCATTGTCCCGCGCATAGGCACGCGGAAACACGCGTGTAACACACCGGGAGGAATATTAAAATGCCGGAAGGACGCGTTCTCTCGCGCCTCGACGTTACGTGGCCCTCTTGTCTTTCCATTGTTCGACGACGACGCGGTATCCTATGGTAGAGAAGCTTGGAAAGACATCGATAAGGATCCACGATCTCGCGGCAGGATTGAGGCTCTGGCGACGTAATGTTACATAGTCCCACTCACTGAGAAATAGGAACATTTTTAGAAAGTATGAACATTGACATGTTGAGCGACGCGTACTACGGTTTTTTAATCCTCTCGCTCGGTCGGTGCTTTAAATCTTCATCTATTATTTGTACCCGTAACGGTAATGAATACTAAAGTGACAGATGGTGATTACGACAGCAGTAGCAAAGACAATATATAAAATTGAAGAATATTGGATAAATATTTTAATTACTGATATTACAACATTTGTTGAAAAGTTAATCTACATTTTAGCTGATCTATGTTATATTACATATAAAAAATATATTTTATGATGTTTAAAATATATATGGCATAAAAAGGGTAAAAGACGGTATAATAAAAAAATTAATAAAATTTTTTATTAATAAAGAAAATTTTTTATTTATTACAGGAAAGAAATCACGATATAAAAAAATATCACTAGATTATTAAACAAGAGATTCATAATATTGGAAATGGAGGAAAATATTTGCAATTGGCCCGTAATTATATCGTCTATTTCTTCTACAGGTAACAAGATAGAAAAAACTTTCTCTATAGCTAAAAATACATATTTGATAGGGAAATAAAAGTGCATACGTTATATATGTACATCCCTTTGTTATATTATTAGACATTATATGTATAAAAGCTAGCAATATATTAAATTTTTTAAAACCGATATTTTAGAAAGAAAGGATTTATGTACGAAAATATGTTTATAGCTAAATGATAGAAGAGAGAGAAAGAAGTTGTGAAGAGATTCCCAAGAGTTCGTAATTTCCTTTATTTTGAAACCAAACATTGTTGAACTAATTCGCACTTGGTAAATTATTCGAAAATACGGACAGAAAGATTGCAACAATTTTTTCTCTATGAATGAGTTTCAAAACGTGCGCGAAAATCGTCCAAGCAATCTCACGATTTTTGGCCATTTCAAGAAACTCATTGAAAGGAAAAAGATGTCGCAACTTTTTCGGTCAAAACAGCGTTAGTTTGTGTCGGTGTTGGTGTTGGTATAACTACACGTACAATCAAGTTCGAGAAAAGACTAAGAGACTGTTTCGATCTTTAAGGCCGGAGATCACCGCATTGCATCGACATGCATCTTGCAGCGTCTGTTATTTCCGTCTCCCTTTAGCCGATCAAGATCCTTAGTTCCCCTTGGACGGGGACGGATCGACGGTAAGATCGATGTGACGGTGATGAACTTTCGTTGGCGATCGGTCGCACCGGCTCTTTTGTCGGTAATATCACGAAAGGGCGTCCTCTTTTCCGTGACTGAGGGAACACTGGTAGGTATAATACGTTCCTTTTTTCTTCTCCTCTTTCAACGATGTTATCCAATCCCGTGCTGTCCTCCGAGAATCCTCTCTGGCATAATGGATGTCCTTCCATCTATCGGTGACATTTTACCTTCGAGGATTTGAGATTGGCTAACAAGTCGTAATAAGTTTCGCGCGGAGATCATTATTCTCTTATTAGACCCCGTCTGATTGTTCCCTGCATCAGCAAAGCGAACGCTTCAATGCAGCAAATGTATATAATAATAATAATAATATCGTCTTCTGCCATTAACATCTTAACTCTTACCATGAGGTTGTCGGAGAAAATCAATTTATTTTTACGTGAAACGTTGCATGAAACGTAATGCTAATAATTCTCGAGTTCTATGGGAACGTCGATTCTAATACATCATGAGATAAGCTGAATGTGTAAACTGTTGTCATTTATTCCTTATAAATATGATAAAATTATCTGCGAATCTCTGTTTGCGATTTTTATATTATTATATCTCTTAATGTACAGAAACGTATATATAATTTTATATAACGCGATACATATGATTCCGCATTATATGATATTCGTGTGTTATTTAAAATTCAAAGATATGTTGCTTATTATAAGCAGAAAAATTGCGTGTATAAAAAAGTAAAAGCTTTTGATATGGAAAGCTTTAGATTATTTTATTGATTAAAGAGTTGATACAGAATTATATTGATAGCACACAGATTTATACTTAAAAAAATATCTGCAGAGAAATACTATAAATAATTATTAAAGAGACTTAATTATAATCTCAAAAATGTTAAAAGATATATATAACAGAACATTATGTTAAAAAAAGTATTTATGCAACAATTATTAATTATTATTTTCCTTTCACGATCAACGTATATTATTAAAAGCGTATATTATTATTATTATTCTTTTGCATTGAAAGTATTTGAAAGAATTTTATTCCGTTAATTTTCGTTAATTTTATTCTTTTTTTTTACGCTTGCGCTTTCTGAAATATCTGCTGACAAAAAATGTAGAATTCCAGTTGACGTAGCGATGTACTGTAAACGAAAAAAATCGAATATTCAACCGTAACCACTTTATCGACGCGCCGTCAAAGTGTTTACGACGATAGGTTTTCCGTGTATTTTCCGGAACTACTTCTCACATCGATGGAAATATTTAAAAGCCTTTTAAAGCTACCAACCCGAGCGTTCTCCGGCGGCTGTTTTGCCGCGATATGTATAACGCGTGTTCGATAAAACACGTTTCGACGCACACAAGTCAAGATGTTATACGAGTATGAAGCTTAATCTCTGCTTAAGGCTGTGGATCGGTCGCTGTAGCCGTCGGATTTTATAAGATCGCCAGTGAGAAATCGTAGGTAATTTTAGTTCGCGGTGCAAAATGAGTTTTTTTTGCATACCATACATCTTACACACACATACACATACACACTCGCTTTCTATAGATTAAACTTATAAAACGCGCCGCAAATTCTCTCTCTATCTTTCATATTAATGATTAATAAATGGCCGTATATAATTTATTTCAAATATGCCTTATGCGACTGAATTCGCTGACAGTTGATTAAATTTTTCAGCAAAATTTATCCAGCCGTGTAAAATAAAAGAGGA